TCTTTCATCCTTTTAGTGGATACAATAACTTCTCAGAGATGGAACAGACAAGTGGTCATGTGTTTAATCTAGGCCTCTGCAACAGGCCAGCTAAAATGCCATCAGCATTTACTATTTACTCAGATGTACATCACTTCAAACCTCACATTGCTGTTCCTCTCTTCTGGGATCAGTGTACCTCAAAAGTAAGGGAGCTCTCCCTGGTGGGCTCATCTTTTCCTACAGAAGCATTCTAACAGCTGCAACTTCCTGTCTCCTACGTTCAATGTTCTCCTCTAGGATTTTCTCTTCCATGAAAAGCTTCCTCACCTTTCTTATCTTCTATCTTTGATGTGTGTACTCATGCATGCATATGTACTTGTGTATTGTCAGACATAATTTTGGTAGATTTGAAGTTTGGAGGGAGAAGACATAGTATTTACCTAACCTGTCTATTTAAATTAAAAACCTGTCCTCCAACCTCCACATAGTCTAGGGATTGGGAATGCTATAATACTTATCACACACCTTGAATTGCTATAAATGTCTCTTATATTAAGCCCAAGTTTACCTTCCTCTATTCATTGGTCTTAATTCTGCCCTTTAAATCCACATTTCAGAAGGAAATAATATTTTTGTTTTCAAGCCAGGGATATTCAATTACTTTAAAAATTCCTTCACTATTTCAGTTGTTGCCTATTTCTTAAGCTGGTCTTTATAGGAGAGTTTGCTCAATACACCTTTCAAAGTGGGTCTCCAGAACTGAATAGGGTAGGCAATCTGAATATTTCAGTGTCCACTAGGACTATGGTTTTCCTTGTCTGGATAGCTGATCATTTAAAGCACAACCCAACAACCTCACATCATTCTGTAGGCACACAGAGCTCACAGTGCATTCCTTCCCAGTTTTGCTCTACCCAGCGGTTCTCTCCTTCCTCTACCCTGTACTTGCATACTTGTTCTGGGGAACCTCAAATCAGTGTAAGCAGCCCTGTTAGATTTCATGTTCTGCTCAGGCAAGGACTAGACAAGATCAGGGACAAGCACTCATATCTCCAAGCAGTTACTCCCATCATCACCCTCTGGACTAAACATTTGGAGAGAAAAGGAACTCCACTCTAGGAATATAACTGCAACACTTTCACTGCTCTCTTGAACTGCTGAATGGAGTCATCAACTTGGAAAACCCATTGTCTTTGAGCCTCTGACTTCTTTAAACATTCTTCTTGGTTGACCGAATGTCATTTATCTATGGAATACCCCTCCCTTCACTTTTGAGAAGACAATACCCAAATTCAACTATTGCATAAACTCAATTACATTTTAGACAATATAATTAAGCTTCTTGTTTTATTGGAAAAAATGCTGCATCTCTTTTAAGATCCTACACTGCTAAAGTTAAACATTCTATATATTAAAAAAAAAATTATGTGTGTTTGTGTATGCAGCCTTGTGTGAGTTTCCATAGGTCCTGGTTCACTTCCACAGCCTGCTCACCACTCCAGCTGAGAGAGTAAAAGACTAACAGGTCAGATGATGAGATCACTAATCAGAATACAGCCCATCCTTGACAGTTAAACTCACAGAACCAATCTACATTTGCAACAATAAAAATAGTGTCCCTTCCCTGTCACCTTCAACTAAATTCTAAACTCAAACTCAGAAAGTATATTATGTGCTCTTCTGTTTCAACAAGGCAGGTAAGATGGTAAAATGATCTCAAAACACAAAATGTGAGTTCCTATCCTAAGAAAAAGGCAGAGTGGTTTGTGTCAGAAAAAAATATTTCCCCTGTTCAGACTTGCATATTGCTCAAAATTGAGGCTTTGTCTTTTAAGGCATAAAATTCTTGAAAGGTCAAATTCAAGTTGGGTACTTGAAGACAAAAATGGAATAATTACCTGATTAACTCAATTAGCTAACCTACATAATTAAGATTCCTATTTTTCTCAGGTAGTTTTTAAAAAGTCATTCTCCACATCATATCTGAAACTTGCCCTTTTATTTTAGCTGACAAATGTGTTATTTTGAAAAGAACTTTATGGATGTAATATCAAAGATTTTTCCATTCACTGGGTTGGGGAAGGGGAGAACTATTACCACTGCCTTTTAATTTCCCCCTCCCCCATAAGGGTTGTGCTTAAATAGCCTGTTAAACTATTTACTGCATGTGAGAAGGGCACTGGGTGAATAACTGTTTCCACATTACAACAAGGAGTCAATTGTAAACCTAAGAAGTTAAAAATTAAATCAATATTAAACAAATGAATCATGTTCAGAGTCAAAAGGATATTCCACTTTCATAGTTACAACTGGGTTGATCTGATCCTTGGCTTTTGGAAAAAATGAAGTCAACTTGAGGGCCATCGATTTCATCAGTTATTAAAATTTTTAGTATAAACCTTAATTTTGGCTGACCAAGCAAAACTTAATACAAGTTCACTTGGACAGTTCATTTTCCTTCCTTTGTACAGTGGAAAATAATTTTAAAACTTGGGCATAAACATTGTTCTTATTATTAAAAGAAGTAGGAAAAAAGAGAAAATCTAGTAAACGCCTTCAGTAAAAAGGATTGTGCTGATGTATACACCATTAACTGTTCCTTGGTATCATGGTTATTTATGTAAAAGTCTTTACTGACTGCATAATTACACCATTTCATTATTAGTTGCTGCCAATATGAGTTAACATTATAAACAAAAAAGTAAATTCATTTTGGTGTATAACTAATAATAAGAGACACCACTCTTTATTAAAAACACTTGTGTCATCTCTAAACCATCTTAAATGCCAAATTTAGAAAGGCAGGCACACTAAAAGCATCATTTATTATCCTAGATCAGAGGTGCACTGATTTTCAGCTTTGTATTTATTTTTCTTAAAAAATATAAAATGAAAGACTTCCAACCTGCAGGGATAAACACAATAATTTACGACAATTATGCAAAGGACATAAAATAGGAAAGACCAAGGAATAGATGGAAGAAAGGCCATCTTACCCTCTCAAGCAGTCAAGGAGATGAAGTTGTCTAGGAAGTGTTGTTAGCATATTATTTGTTCTATTTATTAAACTGGCCCAAACTTCCATGGCTCAGAGACTCTTAAAATGCCACTATAAAATAAATACATGTACACACACACACTCACAGATACATATGTGAATGTCCACCTGTTACATGGCATTTTTCTTTGCCCACTTCTACTTACCTGAACTGTACCACCAGAGATTTTCTAAAGCAGAAGATAGTAGCATATCAGGGTGAAATAAATGAAACGAAGTGTGGGATCCTTTTTAACCTCCTCTCCCAGAATGTAACACCAAAGATTTAATTTTGCAGAGATGCCACTGTGGGCATGGTATCAGATATTTGGGTTTTAAGGCCCCTCTCCTTGGCCTGCTACTCTAATATATGGTGATAAATGTCTCCTTAATTTGCACAACAGCTTTCAATCTTCTTCAGAGCAGACCACCTTGAAGGAGCGAGTAAAAGGTTTAGTCATGGTTTCTATTTTGCTATTTGAATTCAATACATTCTAGTTAAATGGACAATTAATAGGTCACTTCCAAAATAGTAGTGTATCAGTCCTGGTTAATAAACAATCCCCACAGTTGATAATGGGCCCTATGTATTCAGCAAGTCCCTGTATACACTCAGCTCATCCACTAAATCCTTTTTCAGGTGGACAGGGTTATATGGGAAGATGAGCTAGAATGAGTCTATAAAAGTCAGTTTCATTCACTGCTTTATTTTTCAGTCAGTGCTTTAAATGGTGTCCAGAAATTCACTTGGAATGTGAGACAGGAGAAAAGACTGACACACAGAGCCTTGCTTTATGACCATACAAAAGGGCAACTGACCCTTGCCCAAGCCTTTTCCATGTGAAATGGCTCCTAAAGTTCATCTGCAGAGTGAAAAATCGTGGTGAGGTCGCGTGTGGATGAGTCAAGTGAAAGTGATGATTGGTCACGGGTCTGTCACCCATTGTGCTGGGTCCCAGCCATGTAAAGTGCTCTGTGGGAAAGTATCAGCCCCCTAAAGAGATGCTCAGAAGCTTGAAGCTCATTAAACGGCCAGCATTTGCTGCCTCACTTGTCAGGAATCATTCTGTTGAGCAACTGCTCTCCTGAAACATTCATAAAACACATGCACTGTGGCAGCAGGGAGCTGAATTCAACCGTGATAGAGCTCTGCACTTTAGTCTGATTCAACTCTTATTTCGCTTTCACCTGACAGAACTGTTAACTGAATAAATGTTTTCTCCTAGGCAACTGAGATAAATGCATCTCTCCACTGGACTTCTTTATCATCAACACAAATTCTCTACCTACAGATTCTTACCTTATGAAGACATCTCAAGACCCAGGTGAACTTTACTTGCAGCTAGACATTTGTCTTTGCAAGTGACAGTGTGTGTGTGTGCATGCGCTGTGAGTTTTGGAAAGTTCATCCTTCTCTTTCCAGGCCCCCTACCCGTGCTATTAAATTTTGGCTTGTATGATTTTTAATGCCCGCCTGAAAGCATGTCCTATAGCTCTGGCTGGGTTTCTTCATGATGATAAAGAAGAGGTATTTATCATCTCTCACAATCTTGGCAATTTTTAATGTTTTTCTACAGACACCTTATGACTTCGTGTCACATTTTAAACTGGATGGAATTTTACACAGCGGTTTCTTTGCCTGCCTTCCTTTCTTTTTTCTTCTTTAAAGGAGTGTTGTTACACATTTCAGAAAGAGCCAAACTGGTCCCTCAGAGATCTTTTTATATCAAATGGAAAACAAGTTGCTTTCCTTGGTATGTCAGCCCTAGGTTTCAAAGCCATTAGAAACTGCTCACAATTGCTCACTGTGCTGAGGTTTGATAAATCTCTGGAAGCCTTCTGAATAGGATCGCTGTGATTTTTAGTGAGGAATTAGCTCCTTGCCATTGCATTACCAATTAGCTTCCCTGAGCACATTAAATCCTGCTGCTCTGGTTTACAGAATAACTGAGGCATTGCTGATGAATCATTAAAAACTTACTTGGAAAAGCGGAGGGGGATGCAGGGCGCCGACAGGACCCACCACAGCACGCAGAGTAGAACGCTGGAGCACTCAGAAGAAAAGGTTTGGGAGGCCCTGCAGAGAAATCATTGGTCTCACTGATCAGCCATTCTTTTAGACAATATTCAAAATTCCACTTTTCTAAAAGTCAGTGAGTAAAAGCCCTTAATTTTCTTAGTTATTCCATTATAACTCATACTGAAATTAAAGTCACATTAAAGTACACTTCATCTGTCAAAGTGCTTGCTAAATAATTTCAGCAAGATTTGGAAGATGTAGTGGAGATATCAAAATTATAAGTTCTTGTCCTGTGAGGTCATAATTACAAGTAGTGAATATCTAATATTCCTTTATTTAAGATGTTTAGAGCAACACTGTCCAAGAAAAAACTGTCCGGGGTGACGCAAACATCAGTGTCCGTCCTGTCCTACATCTTAACTACTAGCCAAATCTAGTAACTCCTGAAATGTAGCTAATGTGACAAAGCAACTGAAATTTTAACCCAAATTAATTTAAATTAAATAGACTCATGTGACTAGGGACTATGATATTAAATAACACAGCTCTAAAATATTCTACTTACCAAGGAACAATTTAAACGTCATGTGCTTACATTTAATTTTGAAAAACATTATATCACTTTACTGCTTGTTTTTAGAAAAAAGTTTTTTTGAAATATATACTGAACTGAATTCCCAAGTTTGTGATAATTCATTTACTGAACAATTCCTCAATAAAAAGTGGTGTTTCTGATCATATGTACACGTTTTTAAGTATTTGAGAATAATCCTATTTTATCTCCAGAGAAATTCAGTTAAACTGAAAGTCTTTATAGTGTTTGTAGTGTAGTGATTTGCCAAAAAATTCTGTTCTCATTTTATTAAACCGTTACTCATAAAATTTTCAAGAGATATGCATGAAAGAGTTATGATTAGTCTTGTAGCAAATGTATGTAAAGGAGACCCATTTTTGTGTTCAAAAAATTCTACAAATTTTTTGAAGTTTCATTATCATTATAGACCATTCTAAAATTTTGAGTATAAATACCATCATAGAAATTATATATCACTTCAATTGAATTTAACATTTTAAGTGAAATTTTTAACTCTATTCCCCAGTCAATGAAAAATAGTTATAAGGGTGTTATAGAATTTAAACAACAATTCTCCTTTATTGAGAACTTCCCATATGCCAGGCTTTGGTTAAGTAGCTTAAATATACTGTCCTTAATACAGTGGGTTTAATACAATATAAATGTGGTTAAGATTTCCTGAAGGCGGGCACTTGCTTTTATCATAGCATACCAGGCAGAGTGCCTAGCACATCATAAATCATCAATATTTTGTAACTAAATGAATGTTCTTCAAGACTAAGACATTTCCCTCATGTTCTTGGGGAAGAATCAAGGATCAAACTTTAAGCCCTTGCTTGCTCCCTGACACACCTTCCTTCATGGTATCTTTCATAATTGATAACCTTGGAACTTAAAACATGACTTGAAAATAAATAGTTTTGCTATTCTCCTGTCATATTCAAGTGACAAATTCTTTCGTTTTCTTAATTACACAAGGGAATATTGTCTTGACATGACTACATACCTTTCTGAAGAATCCAGTACTTTCAGATTCACATTTTAATCAATTGATAAATGCATGCTTATTTTCATCAATTATTTAAAGCAGATGTCAACACAAGCATATTTCCCAGTTAAAAATAATTATAGTATTCTAGGGTCCTGAAAACCCTAAAATTACAAATTAGTCATAAATGCAGATTTCTTCCTTTAATACAATGGAGAGTTTCGATATTAATGTTCTCAGACTTTTTAAGTATCTGGATTTCCAGAGAATAGTGTTTAACACTGTTTGGAAAATATGGCAACTAAGGCAAAGCTATGAAAAGGAGAATATTTTGGTGTTCAAGAAGTTCAAAAACTTTTTTTAGTTTTATTTTTATCATAAATTGTTCTAATATCAATTATAAAACCATCAGAGTAATTAAAAATCATTTAAATGTTATCTCTTGAATTATATTACAAGAACATGACATTATTTAGGCAGATTTATATTTCCATAATTACTATGGACATATGAAGTACTTTGAAAAATTGAATTATGTTTCCAAATATAAAAATTGCCTCATTGTATTTATTATCAAGCATTTATGTTAGCTCCTTCTTTCTTTCTTTCTTTTTTTTTTTCTTTTTAGGTAGAAGGAAACAATTCAGTAATGTTGCATTTACATACATAAAATTAAACATTTATTATGCTAGGTGGAAATGCCAAAGAAAATCTATTTGCTTATTATTTGCTGTTCAATATAGAACACAGGAAATAAGATCGTACCCAAGTAAAACCACTGAAATAATAATGCAAGGTATATATAAATTAGATAATTTCTATTCTAGCCAAAATGTTTCTCAGTCTACCATCCCATTTCCCCTAAAAATGGGAAAATAAAAGATTAAAGAAAACCGATTATTTCCTTAAGTAATCAATTAAATACATTTGTGATAAATGTGGTTTGAAGATGTCTGATTTTATTATTAAATTTTTCCAGAAAGAGTTTTAATGGAACAGCCCATTACCCTACATGAAAGTTGTAATTAAAATGACAGTTTCAAAATCTGTAATTACAAAAAATGTCAAAGTCTACAGTAACAATTCCAGTTTGGCTAAAGAACTGGCTTTCACACTTTGTGACAAGACCAGGCTTGAAGTTCTATTGTATAGAAGTTCTTCACCATTTTAAATCATCTCTTTGACACATATATTTACACAGGAGATTAGTCAATTCCTGATTGCTATACATAAATACACCTTGTTTAAGCTGGTTTATGTGGAAATCACTGTGAAATTCCAATTAAGTGCTCCTTTTTTTCCACATGCTCCTACTCTGACATAAGTCAAATGCTAATCTATCTGAGCATGTGATTGCCTTGATGCTCAATGGCAACAGGAAATAATTATTTAAAATAATGCAATGCATTTAAAATATATTTTGAACTTTTAACATTTGTAAGCCACATACTTTTTTAAAATGAGGTAAAGAGAAAACTCAACCTTCATGAAAATAAAGTGACAAGTGAACAGATGTGTGAAAACTTTTGTAAGCCTTAAGATCTACTTCGAAGACACTCTGAAAAATGCAGGGGGGGAGAAAAGCCGTTTAATACTGGATGATAACCATTCAAACCCCATCAATGCAGTTTAGATGCAATTACTTCATCATTCAACTGTGTTAAGAATGACTCATGGTAGACTTACTGAACAAGAGTCATAATGATAATATTTAAGGAGTGTTTACTATAGTCAGGCACTGGACTGGCTACGAATTTAACACAAGCCATTTCATTCCTTCATTCATTAACATTAAACCTCAAATGGGCCTCCGTCCAGAATGTGATTATGATCGCTTTCACCAAAGTAAAAAAGTAGGCAAGAGAAATAATAAGGATTTTTGTAATTAGTTATTAGCCATGAGGGGTAGGGATTTCATTTACAGACTCTGCCAGTTATTCCAAGCTGGACTCCGGAAAAATAGACACATCTCCTAAGATCCCCAAGAGAGAAAAAGAATGTCCTTTCCTATGAAAAGAGCACCCATGGGACAGGTTCTACAGCATGATCTCAGGTCCTATTGGTACAGCATTTCAAGATACTCCAAATTTCATATTCCACCAACAAATCAAACTTCCATTTTCTATGGGAAGTTGTTACAACTCACAAACAAAACGATTTAAGTTTTTGGGGACTAAACCAGAATCTTTCTGCAACCAAATGACTAAATTCATGCATTTCCAGAAAACTTTATAAACTTTCCACACTTCATCAAAGGTTCTAATTTATTTGAAGACATAGATTCAAAGTGTCTTTAAATTATTTTGAATATCAATTTTAGATGGGAACTTAGAGCCAACTTAAATGTGAACTGGCCTTACTTTTTCAAAACTAAATAGATCTAAAAAGATCGCTATATGATGTAAATATCCCAAGCAAAGGATAGCTACAAGCCTAATTATAAAGAAATTATTTTCAACATTCTGTTGTCTAGAAAACAATTATTTTAGTTGACTTTTGTTATTTTCATTCTTCTTCATTGATGGAGAAGAACCATGGAAATCAATTGGTGTGAAACCAATTCTTTTTATTATCACTGCAAACTGTGGTACTAACTGACTTGAGGTGACATTTCAAAGACAAAGTACCAAAGATCACCAATAAAACTTTTAAATAAATTTCAGCGTTCCATTGTAATGCTACGCAGACTGAAGCACATTTCAAGGAAGATGAGGAGAAATGAGACAAGGTTCCAATATATCCTACTACTGCAGAAGGTCAAAAAAATAAAAATAAAAACTTCTGGGAAAGAACAACAGGGAATTAAATAATTTTGAAAGGTTAGTTTTAATGATCTCCTTCAAGTACCAGGTATACAGACTCTGGGAATAAAGAAACCTAAATTTCTGATTTGAAAATAATATACAACTGAACAGATAATCTAGAGGGAAAAAAAACTCTTAAAGAATAGTGAAACATTTTCCTTGAGTAGTTAGACCTAAGAAATATCAGTTACTTAATGAGATTTGATTTATTTATCATGCAGTCAACCTAAAAGCAATTCATTCAGTGATTCAATTGCAATCCTTGCCCTCAATCAGCAGGGAAAAAAAGTTAGATAAATTCATCCTTTCCCCTCTGTTCATTGAGAAACAATAGAAGTCAGTATTTTTTGTCCCAAGAGTATTTTTCAGACAGAAAAACATAGGTCTTAATGTTTTTGAAAATTTTTTATATTTATTTTTTAGTTGTAATTGGACACAATATCTTTATTTCACATATTTATTTTTATGTGGTGCTGAGGCTCGAACCCAGAGTCTCGCATGTGGGAGGTGAGTGCTCTACTGCTGAGCATAACCCCAGCCCTTGTCTTAATGTTTTAATACAGCTCTTTAAGAAGCCAAATCAAGTGTAGTTTGATTCTATCCTTTTAATTCAAGGTAAATAATACGGATCACCTATCATCTATCAAATGCCAGGTGTTGCACTGTGTGCTGGGACAAGTTTCCCTTCTTA